CCTATCACTCCTCCCTGAGAGAGACTTCACCCTGAGTCATAAGGAAAAGGGGACGGCGTATTCTCTTAGCTACTTCCTGCTGAAAAGGGATGCTGTGGGGGGACCATTTCTTTTAAGAAATAACCCCAGACTTTCTCTGTTCCTTTGCAAATTAAAATTGCATTTATCACTTCATTAGGGAAATTTCTGAAATTTCTAATTTCCAAACATACCCATAGAAGGTCTCTACCTCCAGAATTTGTTAATGCAGAGCTGCCCCCACCCCTTTCAAAGCCGTGAAGCTGCTTACCTCTTCTGGAGATGGACACACACCCTCCTGCTGCTTGTGTTCTGTTGGAGCCGTTTTTTCACGTAGGTTGCTGCATTCTGGCCAGCAGTCTTTAATTGCTGGGCTGGTGGCATGTGTTCCCCATCCTGGAAACAAAGTCTTGATATTCCCTTGGGGTGTATGTGTGTATATCTTGTTAAGCTAGAAAAACATGGGACTTGAAAACAAGCTTTTTCCAGTTCACGGTTTTAAACAGAAACATTAAAAAAGAAACTATGTTTACTAGGACTATCACAAAATATCTGATCTCTTGTTTAGGCTTGTATCATGGCTGAAATTGAGAATGGTTTGATTCTCTCAAATACTAGATTTCTAGTCCCACCTCTCCCATTACTGTCCTGTACTCATGAGAATTAGAAGCCTGAGCTCTCTTTCCAGACTGATAGTGACTGGGTCCAGGCTGTGGAATCCATTCTAGGAGGTACTAATCTGTTTTTAATCCATTTAACTTTAATTTAAAAGCCCCTGGGTGATAAATAAAGAGCATTCAACCATTGGCCAAAAGCTGGCGATTCAAATCCACCCAGAAGTGCCTTGAAGATGAGCCTGTTGATCTGCTTCTAAATGTTCACAGCGTTGGCAGTGGTGGAGCACGCGCACACAGTTCTCTGCATTCGGGGGGCCGTCATGGGTCAGAAGCAGCGTGGCAGCAACTAACAAAACAATACTGCTTTTGTACTCGTTCTATGCCAGCAAATAGAATCCCACTTGTGGTAACCTCATTGGACAGATTGATTTCTGAGTATAAAGGAGCTGTGGTGGGTGATGAGACTGGAGGAGGAGATGAAGCTAGGATTGGATTCACAAGGGCTCTGTGCAGGGCTCAGATTTCAGAAAGGGAGCTATGAGCAAGCTTTAATTTTTGGGAAAATGTAGCACTATGGAAAGTGGATAGCACTAATAAGTATGAGGGGGAAAAAATGAATACTTAATGAGAACACCCCAATAAATACTCTTTAAAATATTCTTCTACCACTATTACCTGCTAAATAAATCACCATCTGTGAGTTGTTTTTGATGTTAGTTGCCGTAAAAAGTCTGTTGTGACTCATACTGACCATGAACTGGATCTGAACCCTGCCCTGTCCTGCACCAAGCCTCCTCATCTCTGATACACTCGGGCCCATTGTTCGGCTCTGTGTCGCTCCATCTGTTGAGGGCCGTCCTCTCTTTTGCTGACCCTCCACCTTTCCAAGCAAATGTCCTTTTCCAGGGTCTACTCCCCCTGCCCCAAACATATGCTCAAAGTATGTGAGACAAAGTTTCACCATCCTTGCCTCTGAGGAGCAAAAAGTTGCACTTTGTCCAAGACATTTGTTTGTTCAGTTGGGGGGTGTTCAGTACTCTTCTGTACCACAACTCAAAGGCATACGTTATTTTTCTGTCATCCTTATTCATTGCCAACTTTCAGATGCATAAGAAGTAAATTAAAAGTCTGTGGCTTGAAACTGGTGCACCCTAATCCTTGAACTGACATTGTTGCTCCTTAGCACACTGCTGAGATCCTCTGAAGCATATTTTCTCAGTGCAACATGTATTTTGATTTCTTGACTGCTGGTACCAAGGTGTTGACTATGGACCCTATAATCTGAAACTTTTTTATAGATAGATAGTTACGGAAAATATTTTTCTTATACACACTGTGTGTGTGCTTACCTCAGCCAAACCTAAAAAAAAAAAAACAACAAACCAACCCATTCTACTTAGCTGCAACTTTCATTATAAATCTTACTAGGGGATTTTTATTTCTTTTTTTTTAAATTTATTTTTTATTATTATTTGTGTGTGTACCGTCAAATTGGATCTGACTGGTACAGGAGGAAATTGTCCCTCCTTCTTCAGCAGAGCATCTGGTGGATTTGAACCACGTGCCTCTGGGATTGCAGTGCAGCTTCTTGCCATTAGGCCACCAGAGCTCGCTGGGATTTTTTTTTAAGTCCAAATATTGCACTTCTTAAAAATGGAAGGACTATATGACTGAATTCTTACTAAGCACCAGACTCACAGCTGCTACTCATTAAGATGGTCAACCCGTAGAAAAGTGATATCTTTTAGTGTTTATATTTTTCTCCTGGGTTAGTTTATAATACCTCTCTTTCTGGACAGCATTTTCACAGTGAGGTATATCTACTTTAAAATTATGACGCTTTCAGATTACTTGATTAAATTTTTAAATAGCTCTGTGTTCTGTGTTTAGGAGAAAACATAGTGAAAGGAGATAAAGAGTCAATTAAGAATCTCCTCGAGATTTTTGACGGGTTGCTGGAATACCTTACAGAGCACATCAGTGAGACGTCTCATGAGAAGAGTAAGTTTGACAATGAACATTGGGCTTCATTTATGCTGTTAACATCCTTTTCCACCTTTATCTTCTTGCCTATTTCTTCCCCTAGGAAATATATCATTAATCCAGTAGACTGTTAACGTGCACATCATTCAATTGTAAATTTCCCATTCTTACAGTATTAAGTGGTTATTCTGTCCTGAAATGTTATGTCCTTTGTTAAAGTGGATGTTGTTTATAAATTAAAGAGAACCTGTAATTGAAAGTGAAGCTTCCACCAACAATTATGCATGGTCTTGCTATTGCATGATATTTATTATTCTCAAATGTCTAAAATATCAGAATTACCATTTATGTTACAAATCTCCTTAACCTACATATCCACAATGTTCTTTTTTAAATGGTACCAATTTTTAACATAAAAATTTGACTTTTTGATTTTGAATGATGATTGTGAAAATAAGTATTTGTCATGCTATTTTCCATAAGGATTATCGTTACTTAAGCTGAATCAGCAGTGTCTGTTCAAGTTTTTAAAAGCTCACTAAAATCTCATTTCTAGAAATTTATTGTAAGGAAATAATAGAAATCTAGGTTCTTTAAGGTCTTTATTGAAATGATAGTCACTGAGAAAGAAAAAAAAAGCTTACATGTCTTAACAGTATGAGATTGGCTAATAAAATAACATTTTGAAGGCTACCTGTGGGTTCAGTGCCAAGATCAGTTGTCACTACACAACCTTCTAAGCCAAAGTTTCCTCATGGATACTCTTTCTAGCTGTGAAGATTAAGTCAGTCTACATATAAATAGGTTGGCACTGAGCGTGGCTCACAGTATATGGTAACTTGTTCCTTGATGAACTCAGAAGTAGGAAAACATGAAGGTGGACATTTGGACAACAGACCTCTAGAGACAGGGATTGGAGCATGCAGTATGAATCACCTCCTTCCTGGAAATCCTGGCCTTACTGTCACTGCCACCGGTCCAAGAATATATTCTTGGCTGTGTTGGATTAGGGGAAAAAAAGTTGATGACTACTAGTCTTAAGAAGAATTTCATCTACTCTTTGGTGTTGTCTGACTTAAGTCAATGGCTGACTGTCCTGGAGCTTCACGTAAATTGCTACCATCCAGTTTTTTAAAAGCCACACCCTAGTCCTTGTGCTTGAATGCTTCGTGCATCCCTTACAGATAGAAGAATTGCTAATAAAGTTGTGGACCCTGCTTTTGAAGCAACCCTTTTGTTTGCTACCCAAGAAATATACCCTACATAGAGATGGTCATTTGGTTCCCATTGGCCAGAGTGGAGGTGGGGTGGGGTTTGGGTATCTCATTGACTAAGCTTTCCCAGTATCCTAAACAAATAGAAATAGCCATAGTGATGGAGTTGCTTTTATTTATTCTAAACAGGTGACACTGGTCAGCATTTTAAAGAACCACTTGAAAGAGAACTTCTAGAAGAGCCAGAAAGTACTAAAGAATCATGGAAAAGAGTTTCTTTTGGAAGGTACAGTAGGTGATGGATAGTCATTTTCAAGATTAACCTGCACTTTTTTAAAATTTCCCTTTGCTCATTTAAGTCATTCACCTTTGTAGAAAACATAGAAAGCAAAGAGAAATGATTTAAACAAACAGAAAACTCAAGGGGGAGAAACATGAACTCTGCTGTTAACATTTTGTTGTACTTCTTACTCTTTTTCCTTTTTTGGATAGTCATGTTGTTCATATAATTTAATGCCCTGCTCTGTAAGTTTCACCCATGAGATCTTTTCCCTGGTTATTAAGTCCTTGATAATTTCTGTCTCTGTATAATGCATCATTCTCATGAGGGCATCACAGTTTAATCTCTCTATACATGCAATGGTATTGAATGCAGAATTATTGTGCTGTCAGGGCCCCAAGATCAGGCTAGGCCTGAGTGTGTGAACTTTCCCAGGTGCTCCCTGTCTGAGGCGTTGGGCCGCTCGTGGGATGATGAAGAAGCAGAGTCCACTGGTGAAACAATTAGACTTGGGGAAACAGCACATACTTTTTCTCTAAGAAGTAATGGTGAGTGGTTGAAATTTTAAATAGCAATTATTATCACTCAACATACAGCTGTAAAATGTAATAATTGTAGTTTTGCATGTTTAAGGTAAGAAAGAGAGCTCTAAGTGGGCATCAGAATTAAGATTCTAGAATGCCAACAGTACCATTATATGAACAGTTATCCAAAATATAGTCCAGTAGGAATGACAGGCACAAGGGCAGTTAAATCTAAGACAATAATATTGTTGTCGTTCTTAGGTGCCATCAAGTATGACTCATAGTGACCCTATAAACAACAGATCTGAATCATGTTCTATCCTGTGCCATCCTCACATTTCCTGATACACAAGAGCCCTTTGCAGCAGTCACCTTGTCAGTCCTCCTGGTAGAGGTTCTTCTCTCCTTCACCAGCTCTCCACCCTTTCTAGTATCATGTTCCCTCTCCAAAAAATAGCTCCTCCTAGCAACATGCCCAAAGTATGTGAAGTGAACTCTCATCATTCTTACCTTCAAAGAGCACTCCGGCTGTACACTCTTCAAGACATACCTATTTATTCTCTTGGCCATCTAGGAGATGTTCTCCAGCACCACAGCTCAAAGGCATCAGTTCTTCTTCAGCCTTATTCATTGTCCACCTCTCAGATGCACAGCAAGTGTTTGGAAAGACTGTGGCCTGAATCGAGACACATAGGGTTTGAAAACGCTGTGAACACTAGAGATAGTAAAGAGGGTATGCAAATCCCACAAGTATGAAACTCCAGACTTCCAGTTGAACATGCAGCAAACTATTTTGATAATTAAAAATTTATCATTAATTTATTTTCTAGGTGCTCAAGAGTCTGATGAAATGCAACCTAAAAACCCTCCAGCTTCACCAAGATCTGACTCCCTGGAAGACGCTGTGAACCTGCCCACTAGCTTTGTGCCCACCACCAGTAGGACAGCTTTTATTGAGGATAGTGAGTAGTACCACAGTTCTTGAGACTGTTTCTGTGGTGTGGGTACAGTAGCTCCTGCAACAGTTGCTTTGGTATTTGCTTTTTTATTTTTACTGCTCTATACTTTCACGTAATGTTCTTTGGCTTTATGTGGCTTCTTTTATAAACACTCGCTATTAATTGCTACCACAAATTTCTGGTTTAAGGGCAGTAAGAGTATCTGAAATGTGAGAATATCAGTTGATGGTGTTAGTAGAACAAAACAGAGTAATTTTGAAAATAGTCATAATTTATCAAAACGCTCATTGTTCATCACTAGTGTGTTATTTTTTTTTTAATTCACTCATTGTTGTACATTTTCTTCCTTATCTGTCCTCCAAGCATTATGTTTTAATTGCTAACTGATTTCTCCTACATGTGGCTGAACCATGATTCTTCAAACCATTGAGGTCATTTCCTATTTTGCATTATTTTTTTATAACTTTTCAGGGAACATTTTTCATGACGTTGTTGTTGTGTGCCATTGGGTTGGAGGCGATTCATAGCTGACTATCCAGAGGGTTTTCAGAGGCAATAAATCACAAATGACTTACTTCAGAAGCTTACCCGGCTTTCTCCCATGGTGCAGTTTGTGGATTCGAACCACATGCCTTTGGGATTGTGGCACAGCTGCTTAGGCCAGCAGAGTTCCCTTTTTTTGTGATTGTAACATTAAAATTATACTTTTTTCATTTAGTTATATTCCTCCTTATTTACTAAGAATGAAGTTCTTGTGTTTTATTGTTTATTGAAAAGTCTGGTTTTTTACAAAAGCAAATTATTTGTAAGTAGTGTAGCTGAACAAGTCTGTATAAATCCCAAGATTTTCATTTCAATGTCTACTTTAATTTATTAGTGGAAATTCCTTCTGTGAGTATGACTTCAAGTGCCAAGAAGCTAGGGGAGCCAATTCGATCAGCTATTCCCTTACTTCCACCCTACCACCCGTCAGAGGCTCGCACACCCTACCCTGTAGGAAGGGAATACTTGAGTGCAACTCATTACTCTTCTGCCCCGGATTCCACTGGAGAGCACACAACACTTTCTGCGGTACGTGGAAAAGCTTGGTTTCAGTCAGATAGAAATCTGTATGTGTAGTGAGATCTCTGCTGGAACCATAGTTCCGCATATTCCATTAATCATTGCATTATACTTCTTAAAATCACGTCTGCATATACCACTTTGTTCTTGTTCAAGGACAATAGGGACAAGATGACTGTATAAAAAGGAAACTCTCATGAGTCAGTACATACTTATTTTATACTAAGATAAACCTGGGCACTTTACATAGGTACACACACCCCTCTGAAAAATATTTGTACTTTTGTTTTCTTTGTAGAGTTTTCTGATCAACAATTTTCTATTTTCAATAGGAACCCAATGATACCATTTTCTTAACACCCAAGCTGCCTAAAAATAGTAAGCAGAGAACATATTTGTCTCCGACCCAAAGCCCCAGGACAAGGCGGCTTTCCAAAGGGAAAAGGTAACATTACTACAGATTTCAGTGCTTACAATCTGCATGCAAAGGGATTTAAGAGAAGATTGTTGACTCTCCAAATTTCATGATGAAAATGAATATATTTGTTTAAAGCATCAATTACAGTGGTTTTGAACCATGCAACGTTGAACCCGTAAATATCAAATGATCCTTTTCCTTACAGATATGAGAACAGATCTGCAGTTTCATCCTGGGATTCACCTGTTTGCCAGAGGCTAAGAAAGAAGTTAACTGAAGAAGACCTGCACACAGTATCAGAGAAACTCTCTCAGCGGCTCTCAGAACTAGACTGGGTTTAAGTCTTGTTTTTGTTTTGTTGTCATTTTACATTGCAATTCCCATGAGATGATGAGCATTTAAAATGATCCCCCAACTTAGTCATTGTGCCAGTATTCCATTAGTCAAGCCAGTTGCACCATAGTATGAGCATGGATTGCCTAGCCTTTTTCATATAACCAAATTTAGAATATCATTATATAAACTTTACTGGTAAAAACAAAATCATTTAATGTTTACATTAAATCATTTTTCTTCACCTACATCTTCGTAGTTTCCATTTGCCACTAGAGACGAGTGTAAAATTGGATAGATCCCTGATTCTCACAAAATACAGTAGTTGAGGTTATCATGGTGAATAAAGGTACTGCATCCCTGTGTCACTTATTTTACAAAGAGGCATTTTATCTGTCTCCTTTTACCAGTTTGCATTCTGAAGTGAATGAAAGATGTTGGAAATCATTCTCTTAACAGATGTTAAAAAGTGCCCTGGGTGATCGAATTAAAGAAAAGACTACCGACCCAGAAGAAAATGTGGGGAATGAAGAGGAGGAGCGTGGCACTGGTGAGACACTGTCTCAGCACAGTGACAGCGTCATGGATTACGGGCCCAGGAAGCTGCAGCGGCCAGGTACTTAACCCAGAGATGTTTACCCAGGCACATCTCCTGGACACGTATCCCAGAGACACTCCCAGGTATTTATCCCAGAAACACTGCCCCCAGGTCCTTATCCTGGATACTTAACCAGGAACTTAGTCTGTGGGCATCTAGAATGCGGACATCTACATGAACTATTTTGGCAGTTTTTCTCTTTTAATTTTGTTCTTTTCGTATTTTAAGTATTTCAGAAATATTAAAAAAAAAAAAGAATTTCAAATACCTGTTTTTCCAATACCTAGAAATCACCATTGTTATCTTTACTCAACATATTGTGTTTAAGAAATGAGTTGAAATTCCATCTGTCCTCTCATAATCTGCTCTTTTCCCTTTTAGTTAAACCATTCTCTCAAAGTTGGAATCTTTTTCTTACCCTGTTAGATACTTTCATAGCTTGTATATTACCTATCTAAATATGCTTTTAAATTTGACATAGTCTACATATTCTTCTGCTTTTTTGCTGTTAACATTGTTTTTTAAATCCATGTTGATACCCAGAGGTCCAGTTCATTCAGCTAAGTTTTTATAGTATACACTTAGAGCACGTGAATATGTATACGAGTAGAAGTCCCCACTGGACATTTAGATTATTTCCATTTTCATAACATAAGCAGTTCTAAAATAAATACCCTGTCACCTGTATCAGGAGTTTCTTTAGCATCTCCGTCTTCTGAATCATGGCCTTTCCACTTTGTCAGTGTTGGGAAATTACGGACCATCGTGACTGAGCCAGTTTATACTAAAATCAGAGCATGATCCTTTCTGGTTTGCCATCTCCTTGCAGGTTTTTGCTGCTGTTTGATTTTCTGTTCAAATTCCAACACTTACCTCTTCTTCCATCTGCTGAAATTCTACATATTTTACCTACTTTGGTCTTCCATTGATCCTCCAGAAACAAGCTGTTTCTCAAATTTTAGACTTTCTTAACTTATTCAGTTTTGTTGTTCTCTTTGAAGAATGTCTCTCTGTCTCATAGTTATTTCAGCTCTCTTTCTTCCAACTGTGACCCAACTGTGGGAAGCTCTACTCAGTAATTTCCATGTTCTCCTTACTATATTCATACTCATCACATCTCCTATTTTAATTGGTTCTTCAGATTCTAGAGAAAATTGCATTATGTCTTTAAAACATGTCCTTTAAAATAGATTCCGCAAGTCAGTTGTCTTAACTTAGAATTAGCTATCAAGGAAAATTTGAACTCTTTAGGAACAATTCTTTTCTTATAGGATTACATTACCTATTGTTCTTATATGCCGTCGAGTAATTCTTCAGAAGAAATTCTTTAGAAAGGCATCAAACTGATTTTCTTACAGGGTTACATTACATATCTTCCCAAATAAGAAATGCCCAGGTGTGGGACCCAAAATGGCTTTAGAGAGAAATAAACTGTTGAATTTTCTTAAGCACTGTGGCATTAAAAGGATAAACTGCTTAGTGTGGAAAACTGAGACTCCCTACACAGTTTAATGGTAAACTACATCCACGTTTGTTTAATGGTAAACTGCATTAACATTTGTTTATAAGTAGGCTACTTTGCATGTCTGTGTGAGGTACACTTGTATACCTGTATTTTTCCCCAACATTTTCAGGACATAGATAAGAGGACGACACCAGTACTGTTCCATAGGTTACCTTTCCTCTCTTGTTCTCGTCCATCACCAAGAGCACTTGGTAGGTCTTAATATACAGCAGGCACTCCATGTTTTGCTTCATTTTCAACCCGGAGTTGAGTCTAGAACCCAGCTCCTCCTTTGAGACAGTGCCCATATGTATGTATGTATGTGCCTGTTTAATTGGTATAGTCATGCATACAAACACAGGTCCATTAGAGAAAATAATGCATTCTGTGTATTCACTCATCAGTCTCTTGATTTTGTTCAGAACCAGCTATTTGGTTTCTGACAGCACTTCTGGCCGTCAGGGACTAACGGTGTGCGTGTCTCCTTATGTTGCAGGACTTCTCATGCATAAAAAGTCACCCTGTAGATCCCATTCACTTTCCCCAGCTCCAGCTCATAGGCACAAACAGAGCCATGTACAGGAAATAGCAAAGCAGCGAAAACGAAAAGAAAAAGAGACCCGCCAATTCCAAGCAAAGGTACATCACCAACTCTCCTGACTGTTGTCGGGCAACCAGCCTGATGCTACAGTGAACATGCTTTGAGCCAAGTAGATGAAAGAATTCTGTTCTTCCATGTTGCTGTTGTTGGGTGCTGTTGAGTTGGCTCTGACACACGCAGTGACCCTGTGTACAATTGGGAAACCCTGCTTGATTCTGCACCGTCCTCAGTCTCCTCTCTGCTTAAGCCCAGCCATGCCATTTGGAGACAGAACTTACACATCTGGAATGAGGACAGTAGCGTGGTCCAGGAGAGCAGGAAAAATAAGATTAGTGTGGGACAGGGCACTTTAAGTGTTCAGAAATGCTCAATTTGTATTTGTTGTATGTCTGACAGTTGTAAAAAACAGAAATTAATTTAGTTGTCTTCCAGGAATGTGTAACTTCAACCCAGCATGTAATTGCCATCACAAGTATCAACCTAATGGTAGAAATTAGTGGAACACAAAATTATGCACTTAGCATTTCATCTGATGTTCCATTTGCACCTTTGCTAACATAATGTACATTTATGCCTAAGGGCCTGAAAGAAACCAAAAAAAGAGAATGAGCTTAATCCCTTAGGGATGGCAGCTGCCTAAGGGAATTTTTTTCCTTTAATTTTCCTGTATTTTTATTTACTTTTACTAACACCATATGCTGTTTTCTCCTCCAGGCATTAACGGATGCATTTGAAAGGGAATTAAGAAGAAATAAAGTTCAAGAGAATATTGGACCTCTAGGGGTAAATGGCGAGAAGGCAGAAACAGTGGGTAAAAGTCTCAGCTGTAATAAATGCCTTTTGACCAGATCAGAGCAGAGTGCACACATGATCTTTTTAAAAGGAAAAAAAGAGTCAATAGGAATAGGACCTTCATTGTCAGTGTCCTAGGAAAACAAGATTTCATTTCATGATATAGGATTTTCTTTTAACTTATTCTCAGAATATCCAGGTTGCTTGGTTGTGATGAGTAAAAACAGCATTTCCTGTCTTTCCTAAACCTTCCATCAGTTTCTCAGGGGCTCTTTTACTTGACAGTTCACCAGAGGTTTAACAAACAGGCTGACAAAGTTATAGGACATTCAAAGAAAATGGTCAAAAAATCCCAGCTGAGCTCTGCTTGGTTGTAAGAAACCCAAGGCTTAAGTTTTCACTGCTTTTCAAAAGGATCGTTGCAGAAATTAGGTGAAACTATGGAAATACACTTTCCCCAAAATATTCATGAACAAAACAGGGTATAAAATATAGTAAAGTTACTATTAAGCCTTGTTTGGAAAATTTTTTATCTGCTGGGAAAGGCTGACAAAGCAACAAGTCCATCAGAACATCAATAGCTACATGGAGGGTGTGGGACTCTGGCAACGTGGAGGCTTGATCAAGATTCAGAGCTTTTTCAAATTCAGGGGATGGCCAGGGCCTCAAAGGGTCCTTTTAACGTATTTGAATATTAACTGGATTTAGAAATTTGAAGTTAGGTGGTTTGGCTAAGGATTAGTTACCTATTTTTGTCAGTATTTAAGATGCTGTATGGAAGTTATTAGACCTCTTATTTCCATTCTGTTTTGTGTTGTGTTTTTTTCTCTGCTTCTAAGGAAAAAGTACACAGAAAAGCTGTTCACAAAGGAACACCAAAACCTGGTGAGCCTTGCAAGATTTACTCTAGAAAAACCACAAGTCCAAGAAGAGGTGTCCCAAAGCCAAATAAAGCTGTTTCAAGTAAGAACCACAAATCTGTCCTGAATGGAAAACTGGCACCATTTGAAAGCGTGTGCTCCATTCCAAGGACACAGCACTGGAAGGCAACACGCACACAGCTCGAGGAAGGGCCCTCTCGTTGTGGCTGGACTTGTACAGAAAGCGAGGTCCCCTCAGGGAGCCCTGTATGTTGACACTAAAGGAAATGCCAGGACTCCCACCTGCTGCTGCAGCCAGCAACCTCCACTGTGTTCGCTCACTCTGGTCACCCTTTCTGTTTCTGGGAAGTGGATAAAATGACTAGGATGCTCCAAGGCAAACAGATGGCTTGTCCAGATCCTGCTAGTGAGTGTTAGATTCCCAGTACAAGAAGAACCAGGTCACATGGTGGGCCAGGCTGCTGGCCTCCCAACTCTATGCCATTGAACAGAGACTTTTCCGTCTAAGCACATTCCTACCAGCAGTGTTGTAGAGTCTTCTATTGCCCCACACCACGCATCCACCCACAGGCAGCTGAGCAGCTCAGGTAGACCTCCTCACATCCTGTCAGCAAACAAAACCAGTGACCTTCCTTTAACTTTACTAGTAATAGCTGCCTCACTGTAATCGGGAGGAAAGCAAACATAATACAGACATTTGTAGTTTCTTCCTGTATTAGAACCACGTCACTTAGATAAGCTTTGATCTGCCAGGAAGGTGGGGTAGGACCTCTTGAGACAGAAAGTTTCTCAGATTAAGAGTGTCTCATTTTACTTTTTAGTGGAAGTAAACGAACAGACTCTTCTGCCCTTGATGCTGGAACAGTTTCCATTTCTCTATGTTTCTGGCCAAACATTAAGCAAAATGTGGAAGCAGCAAATTGCACAGGTTGAACAGCTCAGAAAAGAGGCACATGGAGAAAATCGGTCAAAGAAGAAACTCCAGGATGAAGTAGGTTACTCTCAAGTTTAAGATGTGGAAATATAAACCAAAAGAGAGGCTGAGTCTGGAGAATCTAATGCCACACCATTAACCCTCCACCCTTTTTTGTCACCCATACAGATAGAAGAAGCCTTGAAAAGGCATGACCTGCTCACTGCACTTGTCAAGAAAGAATACGAACATAACAAGAGACTAGTATGTCACAAGCAAGTTGCTGTTAAAATGTGTTACTCTTTCTTTTGCCAGCCAGATAGTAATCCCAGTCCTATCTCTAATACTTGCCTGAGGAAGCATCTAGGATTTTGAAAACTTGGTGAGGAGGAAGGTGCTATCCATACATGTTTTCATGTAATATATATAGTGATAGAGAAAATGTTTCCTGTCAAATGAAGAACCTGAGGCTGTGAGGTGTTAAGTAACCTGCCATGCATCCCATTTTAAGAGGTTAGGTTGAGTTTTTCATTCAGGTCTGTGTCTCTTCCTCCACAGCCCTTCTTCTTCTTCCCCTCTTTTTTGAGGTGCTCTGTAGAGAGCTGAGTTAATCAGCCTTCATAGTGAGCCCTTGGTGGTTCCACGGTAGAAGTCTAGCTTTCCATTCCAGCTAGTACAGGTCATGCACAACTACCACCGACATTGTTGCATGTTGCTGGAATGTTGATCAGGTTTCACTGGCGTTTCCACAGTAACATAGACTGGGAAGAAAGGCCTGGCCCTCTGGACCAGCCAGGGAAACCCTGTAAGTCGGTTGTCTGAGGGGTAGCCAGTCCCGGGAATGGCGCTGGACCAGGCAGCATTGCCTTCAGTCCTGCATGTTCTCACCATGAGTCAGAGCTGAGAGCTACACTTTGAACTGGGAATTGTACTTAGCACATTATCTTCTGTTGAATATAATTAAGAGAAAGGACAGGGGTCAGAGACATGGCAAAGGAAGAAAATGAAGACTCTGATTTAGTGTGGAGTGGAGATAAGCCATGAGAACTGTAATTCTAAACAATTCTTGGGAAGTAAGGAGTAGCCATCTCAAAAACACACGTGCTCCTCTGGCAGGGAGAAGAAAAATCTCAACACCTAGCTGGAGGTTTTGTAGACATGATCTCACTTCTTCCTCACTGCTTAGCACGTACTACCCAGTGTCAGAATGGACAGTTCAAAGGCTCATAATCCATTTTCCCACTGGAGGGCAGGAGGAAGATCATTACAATGCAGTCTGTAATCGTGACCGGATTTAAATGCTCTGGGAAACTTGAGCTTTGCTTGAAAGTTTTTCAAAGGGTACTATTTCCTAGCCCTTTTCAGGTGGCATCAACTGGGATTAGGCACGTCCCTAGTGGGACAGGGGGCTGAGACCTCCCAATCTGACAGGAGTCCTGCTCAGGTTCACTGCTGTGCCCTGCAGTGGGTGTGTGTCAGAGGGTGCTCCTTGGGCCAAGGACCATCGAGCTGATGGGCTTGCCAGAAGCTAGGAGACACCACCCCAGATGTCCAGTGGCCCGCCAGACCCAGCTTTGCTTTAAGTCGTCGTGATGGAGGAGTAGGGCAGATAAGAACTCTGCTGTCTGGCCCTCATCCTCATCCCTTCCTTTCCTAGCAAGACTTCCGGGATCGCATTAATAGGCAGAGGTTAACTCAATCAAAGATAAAAGAAAATCGGCAGCAGATTGTTCGTGCCCGGAAATACTATGATGACTACAGAATTCAGTTGCGTGCAAAAATGATGAAAATGAGGACCCGGGAAGAAATGGTGAGTGATTTTTCTGTCCAGGCTGTTAAATGGGTGAATTTTACTGTTAAGGGTTTCAGAGTTTTCTTTTGTTGTGATTCTTGTCACAATTTGAATTCATAGTACAAATTTAAGTCCTGAAATGTGTCAGTTTTTATTAGTCTGTACTCTTTGCTTAAGGTGCATCTCAATCTATTAGGCTCCACTGACCTCTTTACTCACTCAGACCTCCCACATACAGAAATTCCCATTACTGCTGCTTGAAGGGTTTTCTGGGATGTGTTCTGAGATACAGGAATTAATGTGACTGATGAGTTAGGATTCTAAATAAAATAGGAATAGTGAAAACAGATGCCTTCTGTCCTGGTGAAGCTGAAGTGATGAATCTTTTAGCAATAAACTTTATCTCCAGAGCAAAACACTGTCATGATTACAGAGAGTTGCTGGCTAAATCAAAGGCTGTGCCACTCGGGCAGTTTTAATCCACCTGTGTCTCCAACAGAGCAAGACTGGCAGTCGCCTCCCATGTGATGCACAGTTTTGGAAACCCAAAGGGTCAGCTATGAGTCAGCCCTGACACAGCAGTAATGGGGAGGGAGGAAATTCTGCAGCAGGTCCTGTAACCTTCATATCCTGAGGGGGACACTCCTAAGGACTTCCAAATGTGCAAAGCTACACAGCAAATTATGGATCGATAACACAGTGAATGGAAATTGCAGAACACTTAGTAGTGACCACATGGAACAAGCAGGCAGGCAGGGAACTAAGCAAGGTGATACTTCATAGTTTAACATCAGGAAAAATATGTATCAAGGTTTCACTGTATCCCATCCATCTGTATGCTGGGCAAATAAACCAAGAAGCTGAACTCTGAAAAATGTGGCATGGCATCGAGATTGGAGGAAGTCTCATCAATAGCCTGCAATATGCAGATAACCTTGCTTGTTGAAAATAAAGAGAAACTGAAGCACTTACTGCAAAGATCAAAGAATATAAAACTTTCCATATGGATTGTTGCTGTTGTTAAGTGCTGTCGAGTCGTAGGCAACTCATAGCGACCCTAATAAGGAAAGACCTGAACAGTTGTATTATTTTTTTTCCTTTCTCCAGGTTCATAGGGTTTCCAGAGGCAAGCTATTTCGGAAGTGGATGCTGCTACTGCTTCCAAGCTTGTTTTAATCAGGGAGCTCCACCAAACACTGTCCACCATGGGGAACCATTATTGTATTTGACATTTCAGTATCACAGTGTTCAGCTTCACAGCACCCACGAGTTACCTCTGTACAGCAAGTAGACACACCAGAGCTATACGACCTAGACGAATGTTTAACCAAAACAATTAAAAACAGGCCTAAGGGCTGTGGATTAAAGCCACCCACCTTTGGCTTGGTAGCATCACTTTCCACTAGGCCGACTGAGCTCTATGTTGTTCAGTATGGATTACCGCAACAAAAAATTCACATAGCTGTATCAGTAAGCAGCTTCATTATAAGCAGATGAAAGGTTAAAATTGTCAAGGATTTCATTATACTCTGATCTACAGTTAGTGCCTATGGAAACAGCAGTCAAGAAATCAAATGAAAAGGAATGTATGATTAGGCATTATATGGATTACAACAATCTGGAACAAGAGGTGTACTGCAAAGTGCAGTTGGGAACAGGAAGGGAGGAAAATATGCAACAATGAATGGATTTCTGAAAAATTTACTTACTTACCTACATTGGGCATATTAGCATAAGGACCTTTTTAAAATATTGAATACCAAAGTTCATTTTAAAGGCTAAGGTGTGCCTAATCCAAGCTATGGTATTCAAAGTTGGAAAATAAAGGCAGCCTGGAGAGTTGATGCCAGTAAGTTATGGTATTGGCAAAGAATATCAACTATACGAGGGACTACCAGAGGAAAAAAGCCTGTACTAGGAGTCCAGTCAGCGATCCTTAGAAGCAAAGTTGGTGAGCCTTTGTTCTCTGTACTCTGTACTAGCCCTTGACAAGGACATAATGCTGGGAAGAGACTCAAGACGTTGCCGCTAATGACGGCTATAGCCGTCCTGCACGTTTCTAAGCATGGTCGTCAATTTAAAAGTGTGCGGCAACTTTAAGTGGGACATGGTGACTCCAGCAAGAGGCTTGAGCATGATGGAGACTGGATCAAGCAGGTTTCTCTCTGTTGCACGTCAAGTTGCTGAGATGGAACCACCTCAGAGGCACCTAATAACAAACATGGTATCACCCCCATGATGTGATCAGCCATCGGACTAGGGATAAGAAGCTGCGCTGCAATTCCAAAAGTACACAGTTCAAATCTGCCTTCTCTGCAGAGAAGGATGGGCAGTTTGCTGCCTTTGAAAACCAGCAGGCAGATAAGCTCTTGAGTTCTGACTTGACAGCACAAAACAGCAGGAGAATATAGCAAAATGCAGCATCCTTAATCAAGTGACAGCCCTGGGCCGATGTGAAGGGTTTTCCCTAGGATATGACCGGTCTCATCTTTTGTCTTAAAAGAGATTAAAGGAGAGAAGCTAGCAGAGAAGATGTTATTAGCACCAAGAATGGAGGCAGGAGTGGACATGAGCTCCTGTATTGTCAGCCTCCTGTTATGTGCATTCGGGTCCCCTGCAACTCATAGCAACCCTATGTACGGCATCTCTGAAGCCTGCCCTGTCCTGAGCCAGTCTCACTAATTCAGACACACCTACCCCCATTGCCCCAGTCACTGTATCAATCCATCTCATCCGGGTCTTCCTCTTCTGTGCTATCCCTCCACCCTTCCAAAGCATGATGTCCTTCTCTAAGGACCGGTCCCTCCTGGCCATGTACCCAAAGTATGTGAGATGGAGCTTCAAAAATCCTAACTTCCAAGGAGAAACTTGGTTTCGCTCTCTCCCAGACAGACTGATCTGTTTTCCTTGGTGGTCCATGGTGTGTTCAAGACTCTTCTCTAACACAACTCAGTGGCATCGATTCTTCTTCTGTCATCCTTAGTCATTCTCCAACTCTGATGCATAGCAAGTAAGTGCGAAGACCACAGCCTGGATCAGGTGCACCTTAGTCAACATCCTAGATCCAGGGAAAGACTGATGCCAAGACACCCAGAGACCTCTGCAGAATGTCAAGCATGTGGATCCTGAAAGGGCTAGGACTTCCTTCCCAAACTGAGGACAACAGGGAGAAAACCCTCTCCTGAAGTTGGCACCATGAATTGAGACTCCTGGTGTCCTTTACTGTGAGACCACCATCACACTGTCAGCTTGGTGCCATTCACACAGTGGTTCCTTGTGGTTGCTGTGACGTTGGAGGCTGTACCTCCAGAATTTAAGTTACCAGCCAGGTCACCCACAGTTGACAGGTATCAGTGGAGCTTCCAGACCAAGAAGCAGGACTGACATCCACTTCTGAAATAACAGGCCCTTGAAAAAACCCTATGAATACTGTCTGAAGATCAGGTGCACAGGTTGGAAGGCACTCAAAGTGAGATGGAGAAGAGCCGCCTCCAAGTAGTGTCTACCTTAATGACGGACTCTCAGGCAATCATCAATGAATAATGTGGCAAGACTCAAAATGAGAAGAAAAAGCAAACATTTATTAATAATCAGAACATGGAATGTGTAAAGCACTAATAAGCTGGAGCAGACTGGTATTGGCTTTTAAAAAATCTGAGTCATGTAATCTACTATGCCAGGAATGTTGTCACATTCAACATCAACATTTAAAAATGTGTCCTGAAATAACAATGCCACGGATAGAATAATATCCATTTGCCTACAAGGAAAACCTATTAATATTATCACAATAGTCAAGTGTATTCATGAACCACTAAAGCCAAACAAAAATTATGAATAGAGATTTCTACTAACCTACGCAGTATGGAATTGACTGAACATGCAAACAAGATGCATTAATAACAACTGGTGATTGAATGCAAAAGTTGGAAACAAAAAAGGATAAAAAGTTGGAAAATAGGGCCTTGGTGATAGAAATTAAGTCATCAGTCCCTTGATAAAACTTTGTACAGTGATTTACTCACTGCAGATCCATTTTGTAAAAACATATATGACAGCTACTCTACACATGGATGTTGCCTGATGGACTACAGAGGAATCACATTGATTATACCTGTGGAAAGAGATGTTGGAGCAGCTCACTACCAGCAGTAATAACCAGACCAGGGGCTGACTGTAGAACAGACCATCAGCTCCTCATATGCAAGTATAAACTGAAGTTGAAGAATATGATAAGCCCATGAGAGCCAAAATATGACCTTGAGTTTAACCCATATGAACGTAAAAACTATCTGAAAAATAGATTTGATACAATGAACACCAACCCTAACCACCCTAAGACCAAATTAATTCTGAGAGGACTTCTTTTTCCATGAAGAAAGCAAAATCATTTAAAAGATACGAAAGAAAGAAAAGACTAAGATGGATGTACATCTGAGACCTTTTTGATGGACAAAAGCAAAAGTGAGGGGGAAATTATGAAGAGAAGTGGACAGAAGATTTCAAAGAGCAGCTCCAGAAGACACAGTATTTTAACAAAATGTGCAAAGACCGGGAATTAGAAAACCAAAAAGGAAGAGCACACTCAGCATCTCTCAAGCTCAAAGAATTGAAGCCTCAAATTGCAGTCCTGAAGGATTCAAACATAAAAATTGTCATTTATTCTGAATCAACTTAGAGCTGACCCTCCAGTTCTTTTTCACAGGCTGTAAATTATACAGGAAGAGACTGCTCGTCTTTCTCCCACAGAGCAGCTAATGGATTCAACCCACTAGAGGCACCACCTTTGTATTAGCAGCACAACTCCCTACAGACTGCTCTAGCAGAGACCCCTACAGGAATCGCAAGTCTGCAGGGTTCTTTGGGCAAGGTAAGATGCAAGGAATATAGTTAACAGACCAAAAGAACTGGTCAGCACTGAACCTTGCCAGGAAGTAGTACATGATCAAGAACCAATGTGAGGAAGAAGTCAGAGCTGCAGTGGGAGGAGGGGAAAGTCCCAGCAATCGATGGAATGTTTCAGCAACCAGACGCAGCCCTGGACATGCTATTTTATGCCACAAAATTCAGAGGACAGCTGCTAGGCCAACTGACTAGAAGAGATCCGTTTTTCTCCGCATTTTTAAAAAATTAATCCAGTAGAATGTGGAAATAATTACATGCAAGTTAAATTTTGTTTAAAATTATTCATTAAATCCCTGAACAATGCATCACCAAAATTCATACTGGATTCAGAAAAGGCAATAAAACAAGGGATCTGTTAATGTCTGGTAGATTTGGACTGAAAGAATACCAGAAAAATTTGTGTTTTGTTCAGTATGCAAAATCATTAGACTGTGTGGATCATAATAAATTATGGACACTATGGAGACAAATGGGAATTCTTAAACCCTTAATTGTGCTCATGTACAACCTGTACATAGACCAAGCAGCAATTGTTTGAACATTATCAAGAAAGGTGTGCATAAGGTTGTACCCTTTCACCATTCCTATTCTGTAGCCATGCTGAACAAATAAATGAAACTGGACGATGTAAAGAATGTGGATTGGAGGAAGATTCAGCCTGCTAGCAGAAGAGTACTAAGACCTGAAGTACTTACTGAAGATCAAAACCTACAAGGTTTCAGTCTAGATGTACACCTCAACGTAAGGAAAACAAATCGTCACAATAAGATCACTAGACAGCATCATGATGGATGGAGGAAAGACTGGCATCAAGGAGGACTTCATGTTAGTTGAATCGACAATCAACATCCATGGTAGCAGCAGTCAGGACATCAAATGAAGTGATGCACTGGGAAAATCTGCTGCCAGGGACCTCTTGTCACTTTGAAGACTATGGTGCACCTGATCCAAACCATGGCATCTTCATTTGCTTTACATGCATGTGAATGTTGGACAATGAATGAGGAAGCTGAAAGAAGAATCAGTGCCTCTGAATTACAGTGCTGGTGAAGAGTACTGATTATACCATGGTCTGCCGTAAGAACAGACTGGTCCTGGAGTGTGTAGTCAGGGTGCTCTGCGGAGATAGGGATGGAGAAACTTTGTCACGAGGGGTCTGCCCATTATGCTTAGAAAAGTAGCAGGTCAGAAAGGAAGACCTTCAATTAGATGGACTGACACAGTGGGTTTAATTAAGATTGTGAGGATGGCACAGGATGGGGCAAGGGTCACAATTTCCTGTTTATGGTTATGATGTATCAGAGTGGACTCAGCCATACATAACAGCTGAAAACTGAGAAATTTGGTTGTTAAAATCATTTTAACACATTGCCGCAAATGGCAGCTATAAGCACGGTCATCAACTTAAATTTAAGTGTATGGCAACGTGTTAACTATGATTTGTGTTACAGCAACCTTAGGCAGCGAATACAAAAATGTTATAGTGCTACAATGAATACAGAATAATAAGTGTTGGTGAAAATACGAAAAAATTAGAACCTTCATCACTAAAGAGATTGTAAAACAAGGCAGTTTTTTGAAAAATATTCTGGCACTTTCCTCAAAAAGTTAAACCCTTTAACAGCAGTTCTACTTCTTAAATACACATCTACACAGACACTGATAAATTCCTACCAGCTGATGAATGGACAAACACCCACATAATGAAATGATACTAGTCATAAGCAGCAACAGCAGCAGCACTGCTATAGGCTGATTTTGAATGCATTCTGCTAAATGAAAGAAGCCCCCTTTTTGTAAGATAAATAGGAAATGGCCAGAATAGGGCATATCTATGTTGATATAAGTGAAATGAATGAACGGTTGCCATAGACTGGGGAAGGGAAAATGGAGTGTGACTGTTAATGGGAGCGGGAGTTGGGGGTTGGCTGCACAACTCTGAAGAAAATAAAAACTATCTCAATAAAAGTTACTTTAAAAGTCTTTGTGACATTCAAATCAGATAGAAAAATCAAATAGATCTCTAGATGAGCATAATGATTATATTCCTCAGTGACGTAATCTTCATGATTAAATAATAGGTATTTAAGAAACTATTTGAAGAAGGTTTACAAATTCAGAAACAGAGACTACGGGACCTGAGAAACTATGCTAAAGAAAAGCGAGATGAACAGAAGAGACAGCACCAAAACGAACTGGACTCGATGGAGAACTACTATAAGGACAAGGTGAGAGCCCCTGCTCCATGGCGTTACAGGGTCCTTCCTGCTGCTTTTGTAAAGTCCTCTAGGAACTTTGTATGCCAAGCAACTTGAGTATGTATTGCCTTATTTCCACTAAAATAAATATCTTAAACCTATAAATATTAAATGTAAGATTTATTACACTTCAACTAGAAACATTAATGGGAATTTTTTTCTTTCCTATAAACAGTTTTCTTTGCTGGCAGAGGCCATATCTCAAGAACGTCAGGAACTCAAAGCCAGAGAGAAATCCCAGGCGCAGGTAATAATTAATGAGATACATATTATTCAAATTCTCAGAAAATATAAAACTATACTGGCTCTCTCAGGTGAATAGAGAAAATACTAGTTTTAAAAAAAATCCATCAATGTTCAAAGACATTTGTCCTGTGGCTTTAACTTTACCTGCTCAGGTCTCTGTAAGAGCCTATAACTTATTAAAATTATTGGTGATCCATTCTGCAACTTTTAGACTATACTCTCCCCCATAGACTTCAATGCCGTAAACATATTTCATCCAGTTTTTCTCAGTCTTACCCCCACCCCAATGCCAGCCTCAT